CTGATAATATTACATACCTGGATTTTCAAAAGGTTTTGACCTGGTCTTTCACCATAGGCTCTCAAAGTGTATTCATATGGAATAAAAGAAAAAGGATTTTAAAAGGTCTAAAAGAAAGGAAAGTCATCAATAGATTACACAATATAAAGCAATTCCCAGAACCCACAAAAATCTCTGCTGTTCAACATCTTCAGGAACTGTATGGAGAAGTTTAATGCTATGAGGACAGTTTGCAGACAGTATAAAATTAATCTGAACAGTCAAATCTTAAACTGGCAATCAAGAATTTCGAAAGACTTAGTAAAAGGAAACACTTTTCTGTTGGCCTAGTGAGCTGAATCGACTTGCTGAGAGGTCACATCAGTGACAAAGCCATACAAAAATCAGGGAGGGAGGGAGAATTGTACATCCAGGGATGGGGTGGAAGCCTAGAGAGAAGGAAGAGTGGGACCACCTATTTCAGTAGCAAGTTAGATTAGCTCAGTTGTATCTCTTGATAGCACTTTTAATGTGACAGGGTGATAAATGACAAGTGAAATTTAATATACAGACATGCAAAGTGACGCGCCCATGGAAGGTGACCCTCACCATAGGTATGGTAAAATAGCAACTCCACTCAGGAAAGAGGTTTCAGACCTTTTGTTCATAGCTCTTTGAAAATAACAGGCCAGGAAGTAAAAAGGAACCCATGCAATGTTTGGAAATGGTAAGAAAAAGATAAGAGACAAAAGCAGGACAGTGCTGCTTGACTATCGCATGGAGTTTTGCCCGCTTCGTCTGAAGAGAAGTATAAACAGAAAAGATTCAGCAAAGGATGAAAACAAAGAAGGGGAATGGCTTCTGTATGAGGGGCACAGGCTGCAATCCCTCAGCACTCTATGGATTAGGATGAGAGGAAACAGCCTCAAGGTGCGCCAGGGGAGGTTTAGATTAGATATTAGGAAAACTTTCTTCACTGAAAAGGTTATCAGGGGCTGGAATGGGCTGCCCATGGAAGTGGTCGAGTCCCCATCGCTGGAGGTATTTAAAAGATGGGTAGACGAGGTGCTTAGAGACATTTAGTAGTGGACGGGTACGGTTGTACTCGATGATCTTAAAGGTCTTTTCCAACCAAATGATTCTACGTTTCTATGACTCTATGATTTACTGCTGCAGTCCCACTCCTCAGCTTACGCTTCTTTGCCCTATCACTGAGCTGCTTCAGCACAGTAACCTGGTAGAAAACATACAGGCACTAAAAAAAGCAAAGAGTTTCCCGCCAGGTGAGTGCGCTGAAACAGCAGAGCCACTTCTCTGGACACGGGCAGGGGGGCACAGGAGGGAGGGAGGGATGTGGCAGCCAGTCCTAGGAAACCTCTGCCTGCAGCTGTAGCTCACAAGCCATTTCAGCCAGCGCTGCTGCTGACATGAGCAGGCCCACGCTCCCTTCGCTTGCGGCTCCTCGCTGCCATCCCTCAAAGCCTCTGCCTGTTGGTGTTTGTGCAGCTGTGCAGCAACTCAGTGGGTGAAAACTGATCTAAATTAAAATGAATCACTTTTATTGGGTTACTCTGATCAGGTTCGTTGCATGCCAGCACAAGATGCGGACGTGACCAAAGGACAGGAACAAACAATGGGGACTGGTGGGGCTGCTTCTTTGAGCAACGCCAGCTCAAAGGAGTTTGGAAACAAATAACAGACCAACACTCCCATAGCCTAGGAAAAGGGATGGTTCTGAAAGTATGTGACACCTGTAAAACAACATGGGGAAAACAAGTAGAGCGTGATAATTCACTGTTTCTTAGAAGGCAGAAATTCAAGGTACCCTATAAAGTTATTAAGCACTGGGTTTAAAACTGGTGGGAAAAAGTTCCTGTCCAGGCTTTGTGCGCATTTGGGACCTCGCTGCCACTCCGGGAGGCTGGAAGTATCAACGGATCGAAAAGGTATTTGACAAATTCATGGAGAAGAGGTGTATTTGTGGCTGTTAGCGTGATACAGTTCTTACGTAAGAGGACACTTCCTCTGCATTTGAGCGTCTGAAAACAGAAAGAAAAGACCACGCCATGGTGGTTCATATATTTTTATAACTCTTACCTATTCGTTGACTATTGGCCATTGTCAGGCAGAAGATACCAGCCTAGGAATGCTTGCTTTAAATCAACAAGCTGGATCTTAACGTTTTCATGTACTTTACTTCAACTATATGTTGTTTACATGAGCTACGTTCTATTTGCAGTAATTTACAGGGTCTGTATTAGATATACCTAAATACTAAAACTACGTCAGACAAGTTATTTTTTCACACAAGTTACACCATTAAAGGTTATCTTGAAGAGTGTATAAATTTGGTGTTACTTACGTTATCAGTCACATTTACCCACCTGCAGGGCAGCACAGGTAACAGGGGTAGATTTAAGGCGGTGGCAATAGGCAGCCTAAGGGCAGCTCAGAGCTCTGACCCTATGGCTCTGGGTTACAGCTAACGGGGTTTCTTTTATACATGGGACGTGCCCCGTCTCACTACGGATGGACGGGGTCAGTAAAGGGCAGCAGGCAGCATACTGGCATAAACCATGTCCATCTCTTTCTTGAGGAGTTTATCCTAAAGCCCCGCTATCAGCTGAAAATTCAGCTGTGAAGAACGTTTGTACGGGGGTGCAGGGAGAAACCCAAGTTTCTCATTTCAGGCAGCACAGGGGCTGGGGGTGGTGCCAGCTTCTCCCTTCTCTAATGATGAGCCCGAGAGCGATTAAAAAGCTGTG